GACCGGCAAATTGTAATTTTTTCCAGTCCTCGTACTAGAATTTTCATAGAAAATTTCTCTCCGTGTATATTTACCAGAATTTCGTGATTACCCAGATTTGGGAATGGACCCCCGAAAATCAGTGACATGTACTTGAAAATGAAAACCGCTTTTTTCCTCCGTGCGTCATCCAGAAAATCTCTTCTGTCTCGACGATTCAAAATAACTCGTACCACTCGGATTATGTAATCTGAGGGATACTGTCAAGTGCGATCAGCGGAGATTATCCGAGTGTATATCACTCCACTGGGGATAATTAAATGCAGTCTCACGGAGTCTCAAAATGTCGAAACCATTTCCAACTTCATCTCGCTCTTCTCCGCCATGAATTTATGCTAAGACACGAGTTGCAAAGGCTAGGAGTGCATTGATACCCCGAAACTCGGGACGAATCAGTCAATTTCATCTGATAACTGTGTCAACATGGCGATAAGTACATGTTATTTGATGGTTGACAGGTTCTCTCTGCCCTCGAAATGGAGGGAATTAATTTCAAGTTAAATTGGCTTGATATTGGGGTGAGTGTGTGCATCCAAAGCATTTAAAAATAGTAATGGGGGAGTTGAGCGATTCTTGCGAGGTGAGATAACACTCGTCAGTGACTCCGCCGTTCCTGGGGGTGAGCTCCCCCAGTGATGATCCAAGAAAGCCAACTATTCCCCTCGGTGAGAGCGTAAAATTCTGAATGCCGAAGACAATGGCACCTTCTCGGGTTTATTCATCATTCGAATTCTATTTCACGATGCATTCATTAATTGGGTCAGTTATTGAGGGGATAATTCATGACGATCAAGAATCTAGTAAAACTTATTTGATTAACACTATTCAGAATTTTCAGTGGAAAGATTCATAACATTCAAGTAAAATACTTGAATTTCTAAGCATTTTTTATTAAAAATAAAAAAAAAACACTACTCACTACTTCTTCATTAATACCTCCGGGCAAGAGGGAGATTCATCCAGAGAAATTCTTTATTTAAATGAGATAAACTGTACCTGAACAAAAGTTTCTATTCAATCTGAAATTTGTTTTTTATTCACGCTTTCATTTACGCAGAATGAATTTTTTTATGATGAGAAATGTTTTCTTGAGGCAAAATTTATAAAATTCCATTAAATTTGAGGTAAGTACTTGAATTTTCAAATTTTTATCGAACATTAATGAATAGAGTAATATTAATATCCATGGAACACGGAATTTGCATGTCAAATCGTTTATAAAATATGAAAAGTGGCTCTTTTTCTTTGTTCAGAAAATTGTAGATTTTGTTCTTTATTAAAGAATTGAGTACTCTTGGTTCTTTTCCTGTTGAAATCTCCACTTTCTCTTACTATTTCTTCATTAATATCTCCGGACGTAAAGCAAATACATCTGGAGAAACGCTTCATTGAGTGAAATAAATTTTACCGGAACGAAAGTTCTCGTTCAATCTAAAACTTGATTTTTATTCGCGTTTTCATGTACATCGAATGAATGATTTTTTTCAATATGAAAAATGTTTTCTTGATGAAAATTAAAGACTCCATTGGTTAGAAATTAAATCACTGTTTAGATAGAGAATATCACGAATCCATTAACATGTGATTTCTTCATTTAAATATTTTATTTAATTCGAATAGAAGATTTTTGTGCAATGAATGAATTACCCATCTATTTTGAAAAATCAAAAAATTACCGTTGAAATCAATACAATTCATTTCAGCAACACCAAAAAAATTCTTGAAATTAAAATTTTCAAATAAAAAATTGTATTCGATTCAAATACTCTATTTTTCCAAATCATTTCCATAAAATTTCCAAAGAATCCTTTCTCAAAAAAAATTCGCCTAAAAAAACACAGAATATGTTGTATTTCACCCAGACATTCGATTGCAGGGTCAATCCTATTACCAATCCCTCCAAGTTTACCTCGGTTTAACCCAAGAAAATATCAGAGACAATGGCCGTAATTTAATTTCGATTTTAACACAAAAAGAAAGCAATCGATAAACTACAACTGCAATTGTCGTCGTTATGTTCGATTCGAGAGGCGAACGAGGGGTGGTTTTAAAGCGGAACGAGAAGTTTACTGTCTGTCGGTGCTTGAACACACATCAGGGTATACGAAAATGTACACAAGGTATTTCCAGTGGAGGGATCAGAGAGGTGGAATGGGTGGAGGGCTGTTGGCGTTGGTCGTTTCGAAAATTTAACGGTCGCAACCAGTGAAGAATGTTCGATTCTGGGCGTTCAGAATGGGTGTGAGACTAGATGTTGGATACAAATTTTTATTGCCTCTTTCTGTCGTACCAAATGTGTCGTTACAATCGATAATTCCCATTTCAGTTGCTCTCAATCACATTGGTGAATAAAAATCGAGAGAGGAGAGGGCGAAACATTTATGTTATGTTGCGTCAATGATGTGTTGGAGATAAAACCATTATCGATTACTCTTCATTTTCCAACTGTTACGGCGAGGTTGCATCATGTTCGATTGGCGAAAGGGTGGATGGGGGAGCGAGCGGGGGGGGGGG